ATACTAGTTATTAAAAGCAAATAAAACAGTTAATAGATATATTTTTTGGTAAGAAAAATTTAATTGTACTTTTTGTTTTCTTCAGGATGTTTATTTAGCTAATTACAGTTTTGTTTACACCCATTCAAGATTGCCTTTGCATTTTCATACAAGTGAAGATATTAATAATACATCAACTGTGGTAAGCAAAGTGCAGAATATTTTAACAGGTGAGAATCCACAAACACAAAGGTCAGTCGCAAAAGCCATCCATGTGCCACAGGTTATAGTAGGCAACATAATCAAGAAGGACCTCTGTCTGGAAACAAAGCAAACACGAGTCTGGTCGACCAAAATAAGGCTTCTAGTCATACCTCCCTTTCACCCTTGACATACTTCAAACAGCTGCATAATGAACCAGGTATTTATTCCATAGAAAATAAATACCAGCTAAGTTGCCAGACACAATAATTCTGGAGTTCTGTGTGATCATACTGTTGAAACAGACACTGGATAACCATTGTTTTCATATACTATATAGATTATGGAAAGGCAGCAGGGAGGTATAGTGTGCTTTGGATACGAGTCTTATGACAGAGCACTTTGTGATGGAAACTATGATGCAGGGCTATTGTTAAGATGCATGATCACCAGAGTATGATATGACACAGTGGTGACATGGACTGTAACAATGTGGTGATGTTCTGAAATTATTTTAACACTTTCACTATGGGCATCTTTTTCTGCAAATATCATGTGGTTTTAGTGAGTTACATTCAAAATTTTAATTAGACTACTTTATTATCATGGTTTACAAATAAATTTGGCATAAAACATAGCTAATAATCCCAATATTAATACAAGTTTTAAGTTCTTACTTTTATAAGGCAATATTAAAATAAAAAATCCTGATTTTCCCTTTGTATGAGAATTGTGACATTTGTTCTAAATTCTCTTCTATATTCCCTCTTCTCTAATTTATTTACCACCCCCTCCAGGAAGTACAAAATGTAATCTAAACTACTCATAATAATGTTTACATCACTCAGGCAAAGCATAATTTTTATAGTTTTCGACCTTATTTGGTTAGACAGCCATAAAGTAGAAAATCAGATCCCTCTTGCCATATTCTCTCTTTCAGAAATTGTCAATAGCTCTCTCTGACATTTATTACTATGTTAGTTATAATCAATAAAAAGCCAAGGTTTTAATCTCTCAAATGATGTAATATATTACATTGTTTTCTGTACAGAGAATTGTTTATATCATTTCCAGTTCAAACTTTATTCCTACAGGAAACACAGACAAGTTTAGCTGCATTTTTAACAGTTCTTATTGAACAGTTAGAAATCCAGAAAACTTTTGATAACCATGGGACATTGTCTGCTTCTTGCATGTTATTATTCTGTATTCTTTGGTATATCAATTAATTAAATTAAAAATTATTTAGTGCAGTATTACCATTAGTATAAAAAAGTAGGTTTAAATATCATGGGCAGTTGACAGCAAAAAAACAAAAAACAAACAAACAAAGGAGACCCAGAGAAGTACTTTAGTTCATGTTTATTACTTATTATTATAAAAGTGACTAAAATGTAAAAACTAGAAACTTTTAAAATTAGATAAGGTTAAATTAAGTAAAACAAATAATACTAGTAACAAAATTTTTTCACAAGATGCACTCGCAAGTAACCCATGTGTCATGTATTTTGATAGGGTAACGTTTGCCAAGTGATTTACAACTCATGTAGCACAAATATTAGTTAGGCACAGTTCAAGGGACAATAGAAAAATAAAATTTACATATAAATAGATGTACACTGTCATGAGTCTAAAGCCATTTACAATAATTTAGATTTATTTTGTTTTGTTTTTTATGGTGGTTACGAAGTTAGACCTTGTATAGAATTAGGGTAGAGAAAATAACAGAACAAATACAAAAGTTTACTGAATAAAAAACGTTTCAAATATATTTAGGAAGTTTTATAAATTATGCAAATGAAATTTGAGATTTTTAGATGAAGAAAAGTATTTTTAATCTCAACATAAAAATCATTTTGCACTCAAAGCAGAAAACACTTTGACTCCATATATTAATGGAGAAATTTTAATGAAAATACTTCATTAAAAATTCTGATTCTTGTCTACAAATGATTCTTAATGATTACTGAAACTTGTGAAATTTCATGAAGACACACAAAACATATTAGAAGTTATAGTATGGAAACTATAAAGGTCAATTTGAGGTTCACGAAATCAGCAGATTTAACTGAGCCCATAGCAAGAGAGTTAATATAACATACTCAACCTCTCTATGTATTAGTGCAAAAACTATTAGAAAGTCAAAAACCAACTTTTCCCATTCACTCCATTCCTTAGGTTTCTCCCATTGTGAAACTTCTGTTTTGCAATTGTAATAATACTTCTTCCCTGAGGAGCTGATGTGTTCTGACCAGTCACCAATTTGAAGTCGTCTTTCCTTTTCCTACCAGAAATGAAAAAAATAAATAAATGATGGTAAAAAGTACATTATCAATATTTCAATTTGAAAAAGCATGAATTATACACACATATATATATAGCAGATATGTTCTCATTTAAAATATTTGTCATATACCACAATATAAAGAAGTTAAAGTAACAGAAATACCATTTTTCATAAGAATTAACCATACACAAAAGTTCAATGAAAACCATAAATCAATAAACTTTTGTACACCAACAGACATTATGTTGAAAAAATAGAATAAGTGACCCAAAAAAAGAAAAACAATTATCACTTCATTACATTCTACAGGCATAAGGACCACAAGTCTTGTATTTTTCTGTTTAGAATTACATAAGCAACTAATAGGCAATCTTGTGAAGCATACACAATATGCCAAACATAAAACTATGAACATAACTTTGATGCAATGGTGCTAAAACTTAAAGTACTTAATATATTATATAATATAAAGTGAAAGGTAACCTCTGCATTAATCCTGTCATTATTACGGTGAGTACCACCAGCAGAAGCATCTGGTCTGCGGGATGGGGTTGAATTGGATGATGGTGGCATATGGTATGTTTTGTTTCCCGTACTGGAACTGCTTCCACTGCTTCTGCGATCTCTGAGTGCTGGGGATCTTGCAGAATCTGAGTTCAAAAATTGGATGTCACTAATCTTGAAATACTCTTCACACCCACATACAACATATTTAAATATACACACACACACACACATATATATATATATATATATATACACACACACACACACACACAACTAAACGTAAAAGGTAATAAATTAATTATAGTACTAAGTTACTTTTCCGTTAGTTAACTTACTTACTTAACCTTAAATTTA